CCCACAGGGAAATCCATAATGGAAGACCATCTTACTCGTCCAATGAGGGATCGCCTAAGTAAGTAAGTAAGTGTGTATAGTTTGCAATTTAGGTATTTGCTTTCTTTTTTAATTATAATATATCTACTTCTGTGCAGGTAATAAATGCTGCTTTAGCTCTTGCAGCCCGGCCCCAAAGCCAAGTGGTGAAAAGCAACATGGAGATATATAAGAGCACATGGGAGAAACACATACGAGTGCTTACAGAAGCTGTGGATGACATTACAAGCATTGATGACTTTCTTGCGGTATCAGGTATGTTGCTTTTGCTTTCATCCTTTCCCTTTGAGATTCTCTTTCTTTTCCCTTCCTCTACGCTTCTTAATGATTATTTGAGAGATGGTACTATCCCTCAGGAAGCTGTGTTATATTATCCAGCCTTCAGTATCTAGCCAGGTGTGAAATTAGTGTGAGGGATAGTGAATATGAAGGCAAAGGAATGCAACTGCTGCCAGCCCCTGTAGGTGGTTTGCAAAAGACAGTGGGGGCTTTTTGTTCCCTCCACCTCAGCCTCTGCTATGACAAAGTGTGCTATGTCTTAGAGCAGGCAGCCCACCAATGGGATACCCATTGATGAACATTAATCATGTTTGCAAGCAGGCATTGAACAGCTCAACATATACCTCTACTGAGATTTTTTAAAGCTCTTTTTAAGAAGCAAAGTAATTTTAATTGTATGCAATTGCTAACAGTTGTGCAAGGACTATTTTGCCACAAGATGAATCTAACAGCAAGAAGTATACAGAAACTTTTACAAGCATTGTGAATACAGCTCAAAGCACAGCAGTCAGCAATGGGAAACTCTGTTTCAGTTTCCCACCATAACAAAGCCATTTACATTCATGACAAATACAGGAAGTCAAAAAGACAGTCTAGTCAACCTGGGAATTACTGGATGGTTGACCAATGTCTTATATGACAATTAAAAAGCTGGCACAATAGCACCAAGCCTTGGGCCACTGTATTTGTTTACACTGTAGATAAATATAAACACTGTGAAAAAATATAGGCATGCTAGAGGCATGCCTTGAGTAGGGGTATATCCTTTGGGGGGGGGGGGTGTCTTTGTATTGTTTGTCCAGGATTTGTATTGTTCCAGGATTTGATAAGAAAACAAAGCTGGACTAGCCATCAAGACATGGGATATATACTAATTTAAATCATAAATCCAGTTTTGAGTCCCAAGTACAATAGAGATACTGAAGAAATGGGATTGATAGAAGTGCTCACTTTGCATAGTGCAGAGATTTCGCACAATGTAGTTAATAGTATGTAGAGCAGGGCCACTGAAACACATTTTCAGTCTACTTTACTGTTGTAGATTTAAATGTGACAAATACTTAAACTAAGTCAGGGTGTACATGATACAAAGATCTAGTATTTTGAAGTTGTCTTGAAACCTGCTTCAGTCTTCTGTGATATATGACCTGCTGTCTTACCGGGCAGGGATGTTGTGGTGGCTGGCGTATCTCACCCATCATCCTCTCATTAGGGTTCTCCTTCCAAAGAGCCTCATACAATCATAGAACCATAGAATCAAAGAGTTGGAAGAGACCTCATGGGCCATCCAGTCTAACCCCCTGCCAAGAAGCAGGAATATTGCATTCAAATCACCCCTGACAGATGGCCATCCAGCCTCTATTTAAAAGCTTCCAAAGAGCCTCCACCACACTCTGGGGTAGAGAGTTCCACTGCTGAACGGCTCTCACAGTCTGGAAGTTCTTCCTCATGTTCAGATGGAATCTCCTTTCTTGTAGTTTGAAGCCACTGAAGCCTCCGCTCTCTGTGCATTTTGGCGCATTTAGCTGGGCAGCTAATCAGGGGCTTTCTCCGGCCTGTGCCTGACCGGCTGAATGCGAACCCCACCTCATTTTGCCTGCAAGGACAATGCAGGGGCAGGCCAGTGCTGGGGCTCAGTCACCTATCAGCTGTCCCCTCCCTCCCACACTGAAATTATATCATTGTATGCATTTATTGCTCTATCGCTTAGTATATTCTCTCATCACAATTTGTGGGCATATGACATGTTGCCAGTTGTTCTATTAAGCTGAATCAGAGGGAAGAAACACAAGTAAAATAAAGGAGGAGGCTTCCATTACCTATGCAGAGAGTACAACAGCCTTAGACTCTCCTTCACCTGTCACTTTCTGGTAGCCATTTCACCAAGCAATTGAACTATGTCCTTTTTTTCCTCCTCTCTCCAACATGCCTTTATTCTGTCATATTCTGCCAGTGCTCCTCAAAGTGTTAGTCCGTAGAATGAATCCAGACCATGACCTATTCGATGCCAGTCCCTGGTAGATTTATGGAAAGAGAAACAACAGCTGTGTAGCCAAAATATGGTACCATTCACTGCCACTTTGGGAGGAGTGGAGAAAACAACTACTAAGTTCCCTATGTTATACATCTTAAGTAGCAGTTTTAGATTGTAAGCCTGAGGATAGTGACTGCTTTGTTTTCCTGTTGAAGACACCCCAGCAACATTTTTGATTTAAGAGAAGGATGGAATGTGTCATACAAAGAATAAACGGATGACAAGAAGGAAATGTACAGTAAGTAAGAGGTTTAAGATAGGACAAATAAAAATATCCTACTGACAACTAGAGAGGAACTGAGAGGACTGTACCTGTACAGAACATAAAACCTCAATGCAAGATCAGTCTGAAGACAATCATCCTTATATATATTCCAAACACCTTTCTACAGGCTTGAGGGCTTTAAAGAAAAGCGAGGATGCTTAAGATTCCAGGAAAGGCATTGAATTCTATGCCATATTACCAATGCTCTGTGCATGGCATTTCAGATTACTAACATTGCTGTCTGTGATGCTGGGCACCTGCTAAGCTGGGGGAAAGGAAGTAATTGCCACTTCATCCTCTTCAGCTGCCTCCTAGGCCCTATTACTTTTCAAAGGCTCTACACAACAGCACTCATTGTATATCAAATGGGCATTGAATTTGTGGAGATAAATGGGTCATGAAACCACCTTTGTCTTACCTAGTTCTTGAATATTGCTTACTAGCAAGAAGAGAGGGAGAAACAAACCACACAGTTGGCTTTAAACTTTCATCTATAGCTGTGTATTCAGTGATGACTGAGAGACCAATTAATAAATAGGCAAGTGTGTTTACAATACTGAATTTTATGCTGTAGGGTATTTTGAAGGAAATCAGGAATTAACCAAATATACTGTGCAAAAGGTCGAGGGGGAAGGTCGAGAAAGGAGTCCTGCTCTCTCATTCCCACCAAACAGGCTTAAGATGGAAGCCCCAGTGAGCAACCTGGTTGCAGCTTTTTGGACCAGCTAAAGTTTCCAAGCACTCTTCAAAGGCAGCCCCATGTACAGCATGTTAGAGTAATCCAGATGGGATGTAACAAAGGCATGTACATACCACTGTGGCCAGATCTGGCTTCTCAAAGAACAGGCGCAGTTGGCAAAGACCCTCCTAAGCACCTCTGATACCTGGGCCGCCAGGTTCAATGCAGAGTTCAAGAGGACCCCCAAACCCCAAAAGATAAACATATTATTAGTAATGGAAAATGTCCTATCAAATAATACTCACTAAAGACATATTTCACATAAATTCCAATCCAATAAACCTTTATTGGCATATACATAGCAAAAAGGTATAAAATACAGTACAAATAATGGGAAAAGGAACTTCATCTTTGCTACACATTCAGTTTACAGAGTTCATTCAGGAATCTTGCCACTGAAAGGCAGCAGTTAAAATATTGACAATTTAAAAGCATAATTACTTTATCTGGGTCACTGTGGTTTTTCAAGGAATCTATAACATGTGGTAGTAAGCTAGATCTTGGTTCCTGGTAAAGTGCTGGAACATCGCATAATGTTGTGTGACTTCTGGATTAGGCCCTGCCCCCAACCAGGGTGAAAGCATAGCCAGACGCTTTCATCCCAACACAGAAGGCTTCCTTTTCAGGAGGGCAACGATTTCCCCCATGTTATGCTGGCTCCAATTGAGCCAGCACCGAGCCTCCCTGCAAGTGTGATGCTTTCACATGTGACGGGGAAAGCATCACTAGAGGGAGCATCATGCAGGGTGGCGGATTTGCCCCACTGCTCCTTCTTTCCTTGCCAGAAGTCAGGTGAAGTGGGACGCTTCACTTAAGCTTCCTGATAAAGTCAAATATCCATGGGAAGCATCCACTGAAGAATAGGAACTATACCATTCCAAATGGTGTTTAATTGCATAGTGATTAATACTTTGTTTTTTATTTATTTTCCTTCAGACATGGTATTCAAGATGTTTTGTAACGCAGATGAAAATGAAATAAAACTAGAAACATGATGGCAAACCTATTTAAATAAGTTAGCATAACTAAACACTGAGAGGCAGCCGTGGCTTGAGTATCGGACTAGGGCACTGAGAGACTAGGGTTTGAGTCCCCTTTGAGTCCCCTTTAGGGGGATCAATAATAATAATAATAATAATAATAATAATAATAATAATTTGAATCCCTGCTGAGGCATGAACAACCACAGGATGACGTCCATTTCAAAGGAAGACAAATGGAACTTCCTTGTGAACAAATTTTGTCAAGAAAATGCTATGATAGGTTCACCGTAAGTTCACTATAAGCCAGAAGTGTGATGAGGGCACACAACAGAACACTACTGTTTATAACAATATTATGTCTATTTTAAACAACAATAAGAATATGGTACATACAGCACATGGGCTTTCCAAGGTAGGTGGGGTGTTGCAGCTTGGAACAGCCATGAAATGGGAGTCAATACTCCCTTTTGCCTTTATAGTGGTTAAGGATGTCCCTTTCTAGCCATTATGTAGTCCAGGATGCCAGATTGGTCTCTCGTTATCAGTCAGTGTAGAGAGAAAAATTCACCAGCTGCGGAACAACCACTGCTATCTACTTACATACTTTGTAACCAACTCTGGCCACAGATTTTTTTTTTTGACCTGCTGAAACTCCCAAACAGATCTAAGGGAGCCTCATGCAGTGTTTATTTCAACAATCCAAATGGGATGTGTTATTCTAGATAGATCTGGCATTTACGAGAAAAGATGCAGGCAGGCATGTAGCCGGGGGGGGGGGGGCTTGAGGGGCTTCAGCCCCCCCCCCCCGAAATTCTCATGGTGGTTCGCGAGAAGGCCTTACTGGTGCATTATTTAAACTGTTATGTTTATTCATATCATGATCTGATCACCATACTCAATATATCCCATATGCATGGGGGTATTGGGGTAATGATACAAAAGGTTTGCTAGGGT